AGTTTTTTTTTTCTGAATCTTGAGCATCCTGACAGCTTTGGTATACATCTATTTTGATCAGAGTGAATAAATTTTTGGATAAATCATTTTAGTCTTTTGGCCAGATTTTATTTAAAAATTTCAAAGAAATATTCATTTAGATAGTGGACTAAATTTTTCTTTCTTTTCTTTAACCTTTCTCAGCTGAGATATTGAAATGATACTTGTCTCAGAAAAGCAGTTTTGGAGAATACTTTCTATGTCAGTTTTGGGGGATAAGAGGTGTTGTTCTTTAAAAGGATGGGTAGAATTTTCCTGCATATCCATTTGGACCAGGGTTTTGGTCTTTGTCTTCAGTAGTTATTTTAGAGTGAGTTCAATCTCTTTTTCAGTGATTGATCTTTATCTGTTATTCTATCAACTTGAGTATTTTATATTGTGTCAAAAATCTCCTATTCCTTTTTAATTTTGATTTGTGTTGGCATATAAGTGAATGACCTGATATACTTAGAGAATCCTAGAGAATCAAGTAAAAAATACTTGAAATAATAAACAACTACAAGATATGAAAGAAACCCATATAAATCGCTGTCATTTCTATATATTACCAACAAAGCACAACACCAAGAGATAGAAAGAGAAATTACATTTACAGTTACTGTAGACATTAGAAAACATTTAGGAGTCTGCCTACCAAAAGAAACCCAGGAACACAATTACAAAACACTTTTCCACACAAAGTCAGATCTAAATAATTGGAAAAAACATCAGTTGCTCATGGGTAGGCTGAGCTAATCGAATAAAAATGACATTTCTACCTAAGCTAATTGACTTATTTAGTGCCATACCAATCAAACTACCAAAAATCATTTTATGGAGCTAGAAAAAAGAATAACAAGATTCATTTGGAATATCAAAAAGTCTAGAATATCAATGAAAAGAAATGCAAGGGAAGGTGGCCTAGCCCTTCCAGTTCTTAAATTGCAGTAGAAAGCAGCAGTCATCAAAACTACTTGGTGCTGGCCAAGACACAGAGTGGTGGATCAGTGGAATAGGTTAGGTATGCAAGACACAGTAGTCAGTGACTTCAGTGACCTATTATTTGATAAACTCAAAGACCCTGGCTTTTGGGATAAGAACTATGAGAGAAAAACTTCTGGGAAAACTGGAAAAGAGTATGGCAGAAACTAGGCATACACCAAAATCTCACACCGTATACCAAAATAAAGTCAAAATGGGTTCATGAAATCATCTTTAAAAAATCCAATAAACATTAACTGCTTATTATGTGGAAGGCACTGGAAATACAAAACTACATAAAGACATGGTCTCTTTTTTTTTCAAGGAGCTCATACTCTACTAAAGTATAACACATGATTAAAACATGAGAGACAAAATAAATTCCTAGGACTGAAATTCACCTCGACCTCCTACTTGTTCTTGTTTATCCTCCATACTTGAACAAGACCAGTGACGTCACAATGTTGGGGTCAGGGATCAGTATGTTTTACAGTGGATGATTAGTCCAATGTAAGCTTGGAAGACTCTATCGCAGGTCAGACACAAATGGTCAGTATGAACATTTGGGATGGAGATAACTCTGGATTTGTGCATTTCACATTTCCTTCGTGCTGCTGAGATTCTGTTTTGCTCATGAAGTACATCGCCTTGTCTGATGAAGGCATGCCATGCTGGACAATTCTATGACAATGTCTACTACGTCTTACGATTGAAACTCAAGTTCTTCAGAGAGACCTCGAGTATCTTTTTACTGCTTCTTCTGAACTCCATGTGAGTACTTGCCTTGTGCAAGTTCTCTGTAAAATAGTCTTTTAGGTAAACACATTTGGCATTTGGGCTACGTGGTCAGCCCATCAGAGTTGCATCTCTGCAGTAGAGTTTGAGTGCTTGGCAATTCATTTTGAGAGAGGACTTCAGTATCCAGGAAACCCATCTAAGATGATTCAAATGGAAGCAGTTCAGTTTTCTGGTATGGAGCTGATAGATTGTCCAGGTTTCATAGGCATACAACAATGAAATCAGCAGAGAGGCTCTGTAGACCTTCATTCTGGTGGGCAGCCTGATACATCTTCTTTCTCACACTTTCTTTTGGAGACTCCCAAACACCGAGCTAGCTCTAGCAATGTGTGAATCAACCTTATCATCTGTGTGGAAATCCCTGGAAAATGTACTGTCAAGGCAAGTGAACTTATCCACAGCGTTCAAAATTTCTCTATTTGCTATAACCAATGGTTCTACATATGGATGGTACAGTGCTGGCTGGTGGAGAATCTCTGGTACATCTCAGATATTCGGTGCTGGTGGAACCACACTGATCAGTGATGAAGACACTATTCTAGAGAAATGGGATGAACACTTTCATAGAGATCTCAACAAACCATCATCAACCAATACTGAAGCCATTGACCATATACCTCAGGTTGAAGTCAATCCCTCTCTAGCTGGATTTCCAACTGAAGAGGCTTTGAATGCCATTAGACCCCTCTCATGTGATGAAGTATCAGGCACTGATTTTATTTCAGACAGGAGGTCCACTGCTTATACAAAAGCTGACTGAAATCTTCTGAGTTATATGACAAGAGGAAGGTTATCCCTCAGGAGTTCAAGGGTGTTCATTGTCTATCTCTATAAAAGAAAAGGAAATAGATTGTCCTGTGACAATCATAGGGGCATCTCTCTCTTAGTCATTGCTGTCAAGATTCTTGCCAGAGTCCTCCTTAATAGACTGATCCTTCACCTGGAAGATGGTCATCTACCCAAGAGGCAGTGTGGCTTCAGGAAGAATATGGTGTTTGCTGCCAGACAATTCAGGAGAAATGCCAAGAGCAGAACAGAGGTCTGTACACAACATTCGTAGATCAGACCGAGGCTTCTGAGGCTGTTAATCTCCTATAGGATTAGTCAATGATACCTACAAAAGAGCAATATGCTACAGTGGATAGAGTACTAGATCTGGAGGCAGTAAATTCAAATCCTTCCTCTGACATGAGGTGTGTGCCCCTAGCCAAGTCTCTTAAACCTTTATGAGCTTTAGTTTCCTCATTTGTAAGATAAGGGGTCTGAACTAGAGGACCTCTAAGGTCTTTTAACCCTTTAACTCTATGATACTATGATCCTACAGTACGATCTGATGGTCAGTATGGTGTGGTTAAGATGCTTTCCTTGTCACTGGACGTGTTTGAACAGAAGCCAGATGACCACATTTCCAGAACAGTATAAAAGGATTCCCCCTGCCTTGGGATGGGGTTACATGACCTCTAACACTGAAATTCTATGATTTTAAAGCATGCTGAAATCTGATTTAATTGTATGATGTGATTATCAGAAGATGTCAACCATCATAGATTAACCTAACTACATTTTGAAAAAAAAAATGGCATATAGCCAAGGGCTGATGTATTCCTAAGTAAACCATAATTTCTTTTCTTTTTTTATTTATCAATGTGTGCTTATTGAAATATACTACAACAGGATTCCCAACAAAAATAGAGTTGCTTGAGAATGTGGTATCTGGATTCTCACTGCAATTTTGTGCAATTTCTAAGATGGGTAAATATATACATATGTATATTGTTTATTTTTTTACCATATTAGTTCTGCTTTATCTTTTAAATATAAAGTATTGGTAGTCTAACTTAGGGCAATTCACTATAGTTCAACAAACTATTATTCACACCTGCTTTGTGCAAAATGCCGTACTAGGGCAGTTATAAAGCTTAGATAAGATAATGTTCCTACCCTCATGGAGCTTCCAATCCAGTGGGAGGATAAATCATGCACACACATAATTATGATATACAGTAATACAGGATAAATACTGTAGACAGATGCTGCAAGAGAAGTGGTACTACATAATGATGTTTTACAATTAGATTTTAGCCTGAGAATCTTTTCATCTAAGATATCTCTTGGCAAAAACTTTAAAACTCTGTAACAAAAAGATGAATATATAGGAAACTTCTCATCAAAGAAATTTTACTTTTGACAGTTAAAAAGATTTACCATCTTATCCATGATCTTAGTGTGCTGAACCAAATCCTGTATTTTAGAGTATATTATTCAGTGTCAACAGTGTATTGAGGAAGCTTCTTAACATGAGTTAAGAAGCTCTTGAAGGACCTCTCTATTGTTAATGCCCTCACTAGCAACTTATACTGCCTTCTCAAATTATACTGCATTCATTTACTTATGCATGTCTGGATCTGTGATTTGATTGTGGGTGTGGGGACCTCTCAGTGAGGACATCTCTACTCATACAGATCTGTATAATCTCTGAAATGTATAGTTTTAGAGAAATGTCTGGAGTACCAGAGGAGTTAAGTGCTGTGCCCAAGATCATTCATTCAGCCAGTATGTGTTGGCCCCATTTTCCTAACCCCAAGACCTGATAGCTACTATACCTCTTAACTCTTTTTTTTTTAAGAAAAAAATTTATCAATTAGTAAGCATCTGTTTTCTCTCCCTCCCATCTCACCTCTAATTTCAAAGAAAAAAAAGAAAAACAAAACCCTTTTAACAAATATGTATAGTTAAGCAAAACAAATTCCTTCTTTGTCCAAGTCCAAAAATACATTTCTCTTTCTGTCTCTTGATTCTGTCACCTCTCTGTCAGGAATTGTGTAGCTTAGTTCATCCTCAGTCCTCTGGAATCATGGTTGGGTCATTGCTTGGGTCACAGTTCTTAAATCTATCAAAATTGTTTGTCTTTACTGTGTTGTTGTTATTATATAGATATAGATATTTACATGTTGTTCTGGTTCTACTTACTTATCTTTGCATCAGTTTATGCAAGTCTTCCATTTCCTCTGAACTCATTCCTTGTATATATCTTTTTGAATATAAATTTTCCTACTAGAATATGAGCTTGTTGAAAGCAATGTTTTTCATTTTATCTTTGGATCCCAAATGCCTAGGGCATAGTGTATAGTTAATAAATTCTGAATGGATGAATTTCACTGTCATCAAAATAATTTCAGTGTTAAATTTCTTCTCTTATGTAGCTTGCATCTGGGATATCTTCCCCAATACCGTTTTTGCCGATGTCAACGAAGACAGGCTTTTTACTCCTGATCCTTGGGTGTGCCAAAGTATTTGTACTCATCATTCCAACTGCCTGTTTTTTACGTTCCTTTCCAACGAACGGCCAACAGAATCCCAACGGTGAGGGAGCAAAGCCAGTAGTATGTGTTTCCTTTAAAATGTAGCTAACCGAAGCCCCTTGCTCTAAATTTCTAAACACTTTTTAAAATCTCACTTCAAAATATTTACAAGAGAAGAATCAAAACGAATGATTCCAAGTTTAAAAGTGACCACAAGGGTTGCATTTTTTCATTCATTTATTTTGATTTATCAACAATCACTTCCATATATTCTTGAGTTTAAGATTTTTCTCCCCCCTCCTCCCCACCAACCTCCCCAAGATGGCACACAATCTAATACAGGCTACATATATACATTCTTATTGAACATATTTTCAGATTAGTGATGTTGTAAGTAAAAATTAGAACCAATAGGAGGAACCACCAGAAAGAGGAAACAAAACTCAACAGAAGAGAAAAAAATAGCAAATATGCTGCGATCTGCATTCAAATTCCACAGTTCTTTTTTTGGATGTGGATAGTATTTTCCATCACGAGGCCTTTGGAAATGTCTTAGATCCTTGTATTGCTGGGAAGTGTTAAGTTTATTAATATTAGTCATTGCACAATATAGCTGTTATTGTGTATAACGTTCTCTTGGTTCTGCTCACTTCACTCAGCATCAGATCATACAAATCTTTCCAGGTTTTTCTGAAGCCAACCTGTTCATCATTTCTTATAGCATAATAGTATTCCATTACATGCATATACCACGACTTGCTCAGCCATTCCCCAATTGATGGAAGGATTGCATTTTTATGGTACCCAACCCAGGATGCTGAGAACTAAACTATTCTCAGGTTTGAGAATAAGGCTTGGCAAGAGCAGAGCCTATATCAGTGATCAAAAGATGCCTCCCCCCCCATCCCTTTAGGAAATCTCAGAAAAAGTTTGGTTACATTCCTTTCTTAGCACCCAAAACAATCCTAGTCCATGTATAAGGATTGGGTTTATATGTAGGAAGGGTGTTATTTCAGGAGTAGAACGAAAATAACCTCCTCCACCCTCACCCATAGACCGTCAACCCATCTTAGTGCCTGAAATTCCACCATTAATGATCCATTCCTCTATATAAATCATTGTCCTCTTTTCCTATGTTCTCTTACAGCTATAAATGTGGAGGGGTAACACACTAAAGTGAATGAAGTTTAGTATAGTGGAAAGAACACAGGGTTCAGAATCTAAAGACCTGGACTTAAATCCTGGCTCTGTTCTTTGCTACATGCATGACCTTGAATAAGTCAATTCCCTTCTGTGGGTCTTATAAAATAAAGGAGATGCATGAGATGATCTCTAAACTTTTTACAGGTTGGAGTCTTCAGTCCAAAATTATAGATTGCTTTCCTTCTTCTGACATGAGAGGCCTAGGCAGCATCAGAATTCCTGAGGAGAAAGAAGTGGTACTAATTATGGAGAAAGAAGATAGATAGGTGAGGATTAGTTTTAGCTCCTATCAAAATTTTGCCCAGTGGATAGAGAGTTGGACCCGGGGGTCAACAAAACCTGAGTTCAAATACGCCTCAGACCCTTTACTAGCTGTATGTACCTGAGTAAGTTACTTACTAACTTTTGTCTGTCTCATTTTTCTCAACTATAAAATGGGCATAATAATGACCTCTACTTTCCAGAGTGGTGAGGATCAAATTAGAGTGCATAGCACATTGTGAATACTTAATAAATGTTTATTACCTTCCTCTTCCCCTTCATCTCCTCTTCTCCCATGTCTTCCCAGTACACAAATATGGTAGGAAAATTGAGACTATACAATCATAACTTGTACCATAGCAAATATTTTGGAGCTGTAAGAATTTCATTGTATTATGTGATTTAATAGCACTCTCAAATCTTTCTTTTAGAAATCTTTGCCTCCTTAAAACATCCCCAAGTGGAATTCCAAGTATACAAAGCACCAGAGAGAATGCCTTTTCAGGTTTTAGCCTGTTGAGTTGCAGGCACAGTGTCCCTGGTAAACAGTGTAACCAGTTGGGTAATGCTCAGGTTTGACCTAGGGAATTATTATCACAAAATATGGTCAATACGCACGCTTTATCTCACATCTGCTTGTGTGTTTCGCTGTCCAGTGCTTTGTCATGGCACCATTTATGCCAATACTGATTTCTTGGGAGAGGAACTGGATATTTTTGAAGTTGAAGGTCATAAAGCCTGCCAAGAAAGGTGCACAGACACCATATGCTGACAATTTTTTACCTATTCACCAACCAAAGAAACATACAACAAAGGGAAGTAAGGAGGATTTTTAAGTATTACATAGAAAAATCATGCAACTGCTCAGAAATGCATAGATGCTCTATTCCTCCAGTGACATTCTTATTTACAATGCTTTATTTCCTTCATTCAGAGGTAAATGTTATTTAAAAATGTCTTTAAATGGATCTCCAAATAAAATACTTCATGGAAGAGGAGGCATCTCTGACTATACATTAAGGCTATGTAAAATGGAAAATGGTAAGTGACATGTTACTTGAGCAACCTGACTTGTGAAATTAAAAAAATAAAGCAAAACAAAAATTAAATATCCTACAATGACATAACTAAAGATCTATTTGCCAACTAAAATAATTATTAAAAAAAATCATTAGCTAGGCCTTAATCACAAAGTTTGACATTATCATTTGCTTTCTCATATAGGTCTTGTCCTGCTGATTAGAATGATACCTTCTTGTAAGCACAGAGCAGGTCTTCCCCTCTCTGGCTGCCTGCCCCCTTCTCTTTATTTCTCTTGTATGCATCAATCTACATATCTGTTGTCTCTCCCATTAGAATGCAAGCTCTTTGCGAAGTGGGACTGTTTAGGCTTTTTCTTTGTCTATCCAGTGCCTAGAATAGTGCTTGGCATATGGTGAGCCTTAAAAAATGCCTATCTGTGATTGCTTAATTTCTTATATGCATAAGCAGAAATGAATGGTTAGTAGGTACTCAGTAAATGCTTTCTGAATTGTTAATTTGAGACTTAATTAATTTTGTTTGAATTTCCACCCTGGGTCATTAGGTCTTGATTAGTGAAAGCTCACTAATCTGAGCTGGCCTTAGAGGGAACCATGATTTGCCTCAGCCACTTCCTCATCAACTATCCTGCTTCCAAAAGCTTGTCTACCTTCCCACTGGTATATTTTCCACCTTTTGATCAGGAAACAGTGAGCAGATCATTTCTACCATTGCATTGGGGAATGGGAATCTGCCTTATTATTCCCTTATAATCCCTGTTAATTTGCAAACCCACACTCCTCTCCCCAGGTACCCTCCCCAGATGTGGTCTCCCTTTATTAGAATGTAAGCACCTTAGGTAGTTTTCTCCTTTGTGTTTGCATGTTTCAAGGTTACCACAGAGTTTGCCACACAGTAAGTTCCTAATAAATGCTTTTTCATTAATTAATTTATTATTGGCTGAGAGGTTTACAATTAGAGGATATAGAAGGGAAAATAAGATATCTAGCCTATATCTATCATCTATTTATCAATCATTTATCATCAATCATCTATCTATCATCTATCAATCTATCATCTATCCTATTAATTATCTGTCATCTATCTAGCTATGTACTTACCTGGGTGTTTTTTGTGTGTGTTTTTCTCCAGCATGCACAAACAAAATAAAAGCAAAAATTGTTGGAGGAACTAATTCAGTTCTTGCTGAATGGCCATGGCAGGTGAGCTTGTATGTCACATCACCCATCCAGAAACACCTGTGTGGAGCATCCATCATTGGGAACCAGTGGATATTAACAGCTGCCCATTGCCTTGAAGGGTTAGTCTTTTTTTGTTTTTCTTTTTTAAGTCAATATTCATGCCCTCCCTTGAGATCTATTACTAGCTAATAAAACTTTCTTTCAGACTATGTTATAAAATGATTGAGCCGGAAGGGATCATGGACTGGTAGGTTGAGAGCTTGGAGGTCATCTTACAGATGGGGAAACTGAGGATCAAAGAGGTTAAGCAATTTATCTAGGGTCACAAAGCTATTAAGTGTTAGAGCCATATTTGCACCCAGATCCTCATACACCAATTCTGATGCCTTTTCCATTAGATCATACCTCCCAGCAGACATCATCTAATAGAGTCCCTGCATTTTACATGTAAGGAAACTGTAACTCTTAAAGGGGAAATGGTTGGCCCAAAGTCACCCAGCTAGTACATGTTAGAGCTGGGCCTTTAATCTGGGTCTTCTGACTATGTCTTCTAATATACTTCAATCCCTCACCCTAGAGCAATGCTGGCTTATGGTTAAATAAGAGCAAAGAGAAAATACTAAACCAGAGTCTGCCAGCACCAGTAATTTAAGCTTTATCTCCTTTAGAAAAATATATTTATTCAGTTTTACAATATCCTTGCCCGAGATCCCCTTCATATCCCCCATGAATCCTTAGATTTTTTGAGGATTTTTGCTTGGTTTTATGAGAGCCCACCCTTTGCCCAGTATAGTCATAGAATAATACTCTTTTCTAGCCTTGCCTCGTACTAGCTGCTCTGCCCTCTAGACCGGAATTTGAGTGGAAAAAGTTTAAGAAGCCTTGCTCTAGACTACAGAGGAAAGAAAGTCACAGGACCGTAGATCCAGAGCTAGGAGGGACGTCAGAGGTCAGCTAGTTCAACTCTCCCCACCCCACCCCTCCATTTTATAGGTGAGGAAATTGAAGCCCAGGGAGATCACGCAGGTAGCACCAGGTAACACAGATGACCCAGGTAACCAGATGCAGGGCTTTAACCCATCCCCTATGAAGTCAGAGACATTGCTCTTTCCATTGTACCAAGCCACTTCTTTCTACACCACCCTTGAGATTCTCCTCTTTGATGAGCCTTATCCATGGCCTAAGGGGAGAGAATCATTCCCCAGAGGAATTTTTGCGAAGGTAAAGCGAAATTGAGAAACCCAAACTGGAGCATTAATGTCCCAGGGAATTTTAAGGAGTCACAAGTTGTCTCTCCTTCCTAGGAATATTCCCTAGACTCTGGCTCCATTTAGACTGCACCCCTAGGGATCGGCAAAGGAGGTATAGTCAGATGTGACAAAAACAGTCTCACAGAGTCATAGAGCTAGAAGAAAGCTTAGATATCACCTAGGTCAGCTTTTCAATTTACAAAGAGAAAAACTGAAGACCAAGGGGACTTGGAGACTTGCCCAAAGTTATACCGCTAGTTGGGGATAAAGCTTGAACTAAACCCCACTTTTGAGTAGCATTCAGGCCTCTTGCTGTTCAATCATGTCCAACTCTTCATGACCCTGATAGGGTGCTTGGGTGCTTGTATTGGGTCCCCAATTCCAAGACCATGTTTCTGCCTAGCCTCAAAAATACTATCGCTGGCAGTTCACCTCCTGCCCAAGGACACTATGCCTAGCAATTACTCATGAGTGGGGCCCAGCAAGACACTTATCTTTCCCTGGTGCAGTTACACAAAGCTGGGTGACAGAGTTACTGGTTGCTCCCAGCCCTAAGATCATGCCTCTGGAAGCCTCTCAATTCATTAGTAAGCTCCTGTCTTATAAGAAAACTTTCCCTTGTTTTAGAGCATTCTCTAATCAGGATGAGAAAGGGGTGCCTGGGCCAAGGATTTTTGTCCCCGGCTGGCCCAGGGAATCTTCCTTCCACCAGACTCCCAAGATCCGTGACTCTGACAACTCCCTCCCTGTCTGGTATACTCCCTACACTTTCCCATCCATAGCTCCTAAAGACCACCTGGACCTTTAAATTACCTAATTAGTATCCCTGGCATTCCTTTCCCATGCCCTTTTCCATATAAACTCCAGCTCCATCCTCAGTCTCTCACAGATTCCTTAAGAATCCTTGCCTGCTGAAAGCATAACAATAGATCTTTACCAGCTTGACTCAAAGAATGCTTGAGTTTGTGAATTCATTCCAGACGACTCCATCCTGTACTCCGGTTTTTGAGTGGTCTCAACCTTTCAGACCACAACAACCTCATTTGGGGTTTTCTTGGCAGAGATACTGGAGTGGCTTGCCATTTTCTTCTCTGCTAATTTTACAGATGATTTTACAGACAGGGTTAAGTGACTTGTCCAGGATCACACGGCTAGTAAGTGTCTGAAGCCAGATTTGAACTGAAGTCTTCCTGACCTCAGGCCCAGCATTCTATCTACTGCACCACCTAGATGCCCAGGTTTCTTGTACCTGTCTATGAATACATGTCTGTCTCTCTCTCGTATGTGTGTGTGTGTGTGTGTGTGTGTGTGTGTGTGTGTGTGTGTGTGTGTGTGTGTGTGTGTGTGTGTGTGTGTAGGGGCTGGTGATTGGACTGTGCAGTAATTTTTCTCCTTTGTGTAAAATTTATGCTAGTGATTCCCTTCTCCATATATGGAGGAGGGTTCCTAACATTCCATGACTGGTAAAGCTTAGCAGCATTATGTCGTTGTTTTCTTTGTCCCAAGTCCACCAGGAGCCTTCAATATAATATAAGCAGGAGAGTCAAGTTAGAGAGCTCAAGCTTTCCAAAATACTTAAAAGCAATAAATATTCACAACATTTTGTGGTACAAAAAGCTCAATTCTCTGCTTTTGTTATTTAGACTAGAGGCTGCTGCAGTTTTATGTGTCTATGCTGGCATTGTAAACCAGTCTGAGATACATGGAAACACCCCATTCTTCAGAGTTCGAGAGATAATTATCCATGAAAAATATGAAATGGCAAAACATGGGTATGACATTGCCTTATTGAAAGTTGAGGTTCCTGTTAATTATACCAGTAAGTAAATATTTATTTAGAAACATTAGCTGTATTTGTTACCTAGATGAAATATTGCATTGCTTACCTAGATGTAATATTGTGCGGCATCAAACAAGAAGTCTCCACTTGGTGATCTAGCCAATTGTTTTGTTATCAGGGAAAGCACAGAGCCCAGGGAGCCAGGGAGATCACACCCATGTCTCCTAGGTAAAGGGCAACTAACTTAGTGTCTCAAAGGCAAAACTTCTGCCTGATTTTGAACGTTCAAGAAAGGGGAAAGTTTTATCTATATAGAATAATGTAGAATCGTGGAATTACCCAGCTGGGCAGGAACTTTATTTATTATTTCTCTAGTCCTTTCCTTTTGCGGAAGAAAAAATTGAGACAGAGGGAGGCTGATTATCTGTCTGAAGGTCACACAGTGAATCAGTTGGTTGAGACAGCATGGTGCCGTAGGAAGACTGTCAGACTTAAGGTCAGCAAATCTATTAATTATTGTGTGGCCGTGGGGAAGTTAACCTGAGTTTCAGTTTTCTCATCTGTGCAATGGGGATAATAATCTGAGTACTGTTACGGCTCCACTGACCAGCAGGGTTCTTGACCGAAGACTGGAAGGCAAAACAAAGAGACAGGACTCCAAGTGTAATGGAAAACTGAATCAACTTTATTAGAGCACAGCCAGCAGTTTTACAGCAATTATTGACAAGGTCACTTCCTTTCTCCACCCCTTGCTGTTCCCGTTAAAACATCATGTACTTCTTGTTCTCAGAATGTTTCAATACTTGATACATAATATACATGTTTGAGCTTGAGCTAGCAGCATTGTTTATGGTTGAGCTTGCATAACCATCCTTCTTACTGGGGAGTGGAGAATCGATCCAAGCCAAAGGGCAAGCTCCTCATATGAGAGGGCTTATTCAGCCATCAGGGTCAGAGTCCTACTCACCTGTGGTCCTCTACAAGTACTACCTACTTTATAGGATTGTTGTAAGGAAATTACTTTGTAGAGGAAACATGGTTGAGTTGAAAACAGTACTGCACTTGGTGACAGAGACCTGAATTCAAATCTTGCTGTCACTTACTATTTGTGTGACATTGGAGAAATCACATACCCACTCTGGTCTGTAGTCTCTTCATCTGTAAATTAAGAAGGCTGGACTAGGTGGTCCCTAGGGTCTCTTGCACTTTAACCCTGTGATGTGTATAACAAGTAATAGAAATGGGAAGTGTTCTTATTTTTAGGTCTCTTGCCTCCTAGCTCAGGGCTTTTGAGGGGAGGGAAGAAGAACTTATTAAGTTCCTACTGTGTGAAAGGCACTAGCATGTAGTGCTATTTCATTTGAATTTCACAACAAACCTGGAAGGTAGGTACTATTATTACCCTCATTTTACAGTTGAGGAAACTAAGACAAACAGAGGTTAAGTGACTTGCCCAGGGTCGCACAACTAGTAAGTGTCTGAGGCTGGATTTGAACTCAGGTTTTCCTGACACCAGGCCCAACACTCTATCCACTTGAGCCATAATGTAGCATAGTAGAAAGAATGCTGAATTTGACATTAGAAAGTCTCATTTCAAATCCTGACTCTACTTCTTAGACTCTGCTTTTACCTTGGACAACTCAGTTAACCTCCGGGCCTTGGTATGTCCATTTATAAAGGAGAGGGTGGGATTGGTTGATAGCATTGGAAGGTCCTTTCCAAATTGAAAATTGCTGATCATCCATGACTTATTTGCAACACTCTATGAAATAAAGACACGTAGGACAAAGTGGTGAAAGTAGAGGCTTAGAAAACTCTAATTAAATGGGAGCTCAGTGGGGATCTCTGGTGGGGAAATAATTTTTTCCTAAATAACTAAACTTTAAAATTAAATTTTAGCTCTCCAGCAACCAATATGCCTTCCTTCCAAAGGAGATGGAAAAATGATATATACCAATTGCTGGGTAACTGGCTGGGGATACACAAAAGAAAAAGGTAATGAATGTGTGTTAAAATATGGGGGTGGGGAGGGAAGAAAAAAAGAAATTTATATGATAGCTTTGTTGTATATTTAAAAGGAACAGCAAGTTATATATAGCAGATTTGCAGTTTCATGTGCAATCATCTTTTTTATGATACTATATTATGGAAATGCTTGTTTTATTCATAAATTAAAAATAAAATAAATTTTAAAATATGCTCTATTCTTTAGGAGGTATCTGAATGGTAGTGTGTGTGCCCTGTCAGATTTAGGGTTGGAAGGAATTTGAAAGACCATCAAGCCTAAGCCCTTATTTTTTATTTATTTATTTTGGTGAGGCAATTGGGGTTAAGTGACTTACCCCGGGTCGCACAGCTAGTAAGTATTATGTGCTTGAGGCCGAATTTGAACTCAGGTCCTCCTGACTCCAGGGCCGGTGCTCTATTCAGTGTACCATCTAGCTGCCCCCTCTAAGCCCTTAGTTTGCAACTGAGAAAACACACTAAGAGAGGTTAAGTAACTCATTGAGGGTCACACAGTTTATAAATGTCTGAGGCAGGATTAGAACTCAGGTCATCCTGAGTGCCAGAGCTTAGCCTTTTCTCTATTGCCCCAACTAGTTGTCATTTTAGTTCACATATCTAAAGCATTAATAGATCAGTTTGGCAGCAACCTACCTTTTCAACTTCATTGCAAACATCTCCTTCAGACAATCTCTTTTCCAGACGAACTGCCCTACCCCTTGTTCCTTGAGCCTGACCTGGGGTCTTCTGCTCAAGTTCATTCACACAGGTTGTCTCCCCTATGCTTGGGATGCACTCCTTCGTTTTGTGATTCTGCCTTTATGAATTCCTCTCTTCTGTCAAGGCCCAGCTTAGGTGCAAATATGAAGCCTAGGCTGATCCCCACAACTGAATGTGTTCTTTCCTTCCTTAAATAATTCAAGGAAGGGAGATGTCTCTAAATTTGAATGTATCACCTTTCTTTTGAGCTACTATATTTCTGCTTTGCTCATCAAACACAGCACCTTCTTTGATGCCGGTGTGCCATGTTGGACGATCCTGTACCAATGTCTTCACGTCTCACAATCAGTTCCAGTGTTCTTCAGAGAGACCTTGAGAGAGTCACTGTAACACTTCTTCTGACCTCCATATGTACTTACACGCATAACTTAATTGTTACAAATACATCCCTTTATAATACTTAAAATCCAAGGTCTGTGTACTTTTTATTGTAGGAAAAGTGCAAGACACTCTTCAGAAGACATCTGTTCCTTTGATAACAAATGAAGATTGCCAAATGAGATACAGAGAGCACAAAATAAGCAATCGGATGATCTGTGCTGGTTATGAAGAAGGAGGGAAAGACGCTTGCAAGGTAACAGAGGAAGCCTGGTGCAATTGTGTGTATAATAAATACAAGAAAGCTTTCACGAATTATTTGGAAATTGGGTGGGGGTGAGGGGTAAGACAAGCATTTATTAAGTACCCCACTGTGAGTCAGGCACAGTGCTAAACTCTTTATAGATACTATCTATTTGATCCTCACAACAACTCTCTGAGGGTCATATATGTACATATACATTTAGATGTATACATATATGTCATTTGCATATATGTATGTGTAGCAAGGGCAACTAGGAAGCGCAGTTGATAGAGTGCCAAGTCTAGAGTCAGGAAGACCTGAATTCAAATCTAGTCTCAGACACTCACTAGTTGTGTGACCTTGGGCAAGTCACTTAACTCTGTTTGCCCCAATTTCTTCATCTGTAAATTAGGCTGGAAAGGAAATGGCAAATCACTCCAGTATCTTTGCCAAGAAAACCCTAAATGGGGTCAGATACAACCAAAATGACTGAACAATAATAACAACAAAATGTTTATACGTATATGTGTGTATGTATATACACATTATATATATGTATGTATGTACAGTGCTCTAGGCCAGATATGCATGTGTCTATGTACACGTATACATGTATGTACACAGATGACAAACCTTGACCATTTCATATGTATAGGTTTATAGTATGAGTAGAAAGCATGGACATGCATGAGATATTGTGGAGGTAGAATCAGTAAGCCACTGATGAGGGGGGAGAAGGAAGAATGAAGAGTTGAGAAAAATTCCAAGGTTGGAAACCTGGGATACATACATATATACATGGCAAATCTCGACCATTTCACACATATGGGTTTATGCCCACATCTAAAGTATGCAAACTGAGGCAAAAGCAATCACATGAAATTCTGAAGCGTTGAGGCTGAGGCACAATGTCAGAAATCTCTGATCAGTTCTTTGGGTTGAAGTCCCTTGGAAGTGAAAAACTTCTATCTTTAAAACCTTTTCCCTCTTCCCATCTCACACAGGGAGATTCCAGAGGCCCCCTATCCTGTCAACACAATGCCATTTGGTATTTGGTGGGAATAACCAGTTGGGGGGAAGGCTCTGCTGTCCTAGGACTTCGCGGTGTTTATACCGAAGTGGACGAGTGTGTGGACTCTCAATATCTTTTGCCTCTAGGAAATAAGAAATAAGTTTTTAACTGCAAGACAGTTTTACAATGCATTATTTCCTTTGGTGCTAATGAACAAGAGAAAGTCATTAATTTTCCTTTGATTTCATTTTGAGAGTCAGCCATGGGGCAGTGGCAAGCTAACTTTGAGGCCTGGAGAACCTGGGTTCAAGGCCTGCCTTCAGTACTGGCTGTATGACTTTGGAGAAGTCATTTAACCTTACACTGTTCTCAGCAACTCTCTAAGCATTGCAGACAGGGTGCCCACCTGCATTAGAAGAAGAAATTTCCTCACCTGAGAATTACCTATAACAATGAAACCACAGGTCTAGCTCCTATTCTTATCCCCTAGGATTACTTCTGCTTGCCTGCAAATAAAACATGACAAAGAGAGAAAGCAAACTTTCAGTTCCTTTGTTTTGTGATTTTAAAAATGAAATTTAAAAATGAAAGTACTAGTGGTGATCCATCTCCTTCATCCTATTGCTATGCATATTTATTAAATTAAAGACATACTATGTGGCTTTTTAAAAAATTGGGATCAGGATGACTTGTGATTTCACTAATACAGGGAGTTTCTAGACAGAAAAACTCCTTCTACCAAGGCAAGGTGGCCTCTTTTCTGTAATACCCTCTGCTTCAAGGGTTGTCTAAATTAGTAGTGTCAAACCAAATAGAAATGGCACTACTAATCCGTAATAGAGATCCCTGTCAGCAGTGTGTAGACTTAGTTTTAAAATGTTATCTATTTTGGTGTGTTTTTATACATTTTTCATACATTTTAATATATTTTGTTGAATATTTCCGAGTAACATTTTAATCTGACGGAGGCTACACTGGGGAGCATTTCCCAAATAAGTCACAGTTGTGTATTTGATACTTTGGGTCTACTGAGAGGTTAATTGATTTTCTCAGGGTCACAAAGCTAGCATGTGTCAAATAATAACTTGAACCCAGCTCTTCTTGGGTTCTTAGCTATCTCTTCCCTATACCATGGCTGCTTCTTATTTGGAAGATAGTTTTAATAGACAATGTCTTAGTTAAATGTAGAAGGAGAGAGTGAAACTGGATGTGTTCAAAATGGAACTAATTATCATGCCTTGAAACCCACCCCTCTTTCTGACTTTTCTTTTTCCATCAAGGATGTCACCCTTCTTCTAATCACCAAGGTTCCCAACCTTGGAACTTTCCTCAACTCTTCATTCTCCCTTCTCCTCCCTCCTCAATGGTTTACTGATTCTACCTCCATAATTTCGCATGCACACCCCCCATAACCATTTGAGTTCATGTCCTCATCACCTCTTGCCTGGATTATTGCAATAGCCTCTATTTGTGAGAGATCTCCACATCTAGCTAGCCCCAGAGCCAGCATGCTGCACTGTAGCCATCCTTCTACTGCACAGTTTGTGGCTGTCTCCTTCCCTCTGAATGGAATGTCCCAGGGAAGACTTCTCAGTGTAATTAAGGTAGTGAGTTCAGAACACAGGATAGGGTTAAGAATAGATTACCGTACAATCTTATCTTTTTAGTGCCAATATTAGCAGTTAAAATTTGTCTAGTTGTCAAGCCCTGGCCTGCCTTCTGATCTTACTTTGATGCGCCTTTTGTCCCAAGTCCCAGAGACTCCCTAAATGTTCAAGTCCCCTTATCTCCCTTTGACAGGGTCTTATTCAGATGTCTTTCTGTTCCCAACATTATCTGTTCAATCCTTGAGACCTCCCAAAAACAATCGTAAATTATCTTCCTAACTGCACATTTTTTATTGCTTCTTTGACATTATCTCAATGAACTAAGAAATATAGAGATGTATACTATGTCCTTTGTCCTGTGTTAGAGTCTGGCTTGTGAGATTGTGAGCCGAGTTAATGGACAGCTGTGAGGGAGGAGGAATTGAACCTGCAGGGTTATATAAAACCAACTTCTATCTCTGTGGGGTTGTCTCCTGTTATCAGAGCTTACTGATGGAAGGACACCCAAATCTCGAGATTTGAAATAATAATAATAATTATAGCTATAATAAATTAACTTTCTGTTTCTCCTTGGACACCTCTGTGTTTTGTTTTATTTTTAATTTGAGTGGCATCCCACACACCTCTCTGCGATGTTTCACCTCTTGCTTTCAGAAGAGTATACAAATCAACAGTAAATATTCCTGGAAAGAGTATGTCCATGCCCTATTGCTTCACTCACTGTTCTCTGATAACCCAGACCCCAGTGTAAGAATGTAAGCTATTTAGAAGTCATGTACCCAATGAATGACTCTCCTCTACCATGTCCCTTCTCTATGATCACTGAGCTTCAGCTATGGAGAGCTCACCTTCCTAACTATTGCCTGGGATATTTAACAACCTAGGTGAGTCTCACATACATTGGGATTTCATCTTACCAAGTAGAAACAATCCCAGGAATATGGTGTAATGGAAAGAGTTCTCAGGAAGTCAAATGGTCTGGGTTCAAGTCTCAGCTCTTTTATATTGGATGAAACACATAACCTCTGTAGGTCTCTGTTTCCTCATCTATATAATGGGGGTGGGGATGGATTAGATGATAACTAAGGTCTTTTATAGGTATAAAGCTATTTTTATTCTGTATCTGCTAACTCTTGGGCAGAGATGTCCTTAGGGTAAAGTGAGTCAAAATGGTGGCTCCAATCTTTTTGCTACGGAAATCCCCATGCTTTTGCAGTTCAGTGACTCAGGAAGGCAGCTAGCAAGGGAAGAGGTGACTCTACCAGTTAAGGCTATAAAAAGAACCTGAGACTCATATACATACAATAAACTCATAATACCCTCATTATGATTTAGGTAAAGCCTGACTTTCTCTCAGGAAGACCTCTCCTTTTCAGATTGCATGTTCCTTTTTGTGCATTTTTTAAAGGTAGAAAGCATAGTGATTTGCTTTCTTATAGTCACAGAGAGGGAGAAGCCGGTGTAAAAGGTTTTGCAGCAGGGAGTAGCCTCAGTTTATTGAAAGCCCCCCTCCCGAGGCCGATGTCCTCTCCAGGTGGGTCTCTGCACAGCGACGCGGTACGCTGCTATCTCGCTGGGGCCTCCAAAATGTTATACCGAGAAATGAGCGAGTTGACGACCCAAGCTAATTTTAAATTGTGGACTTTATTAGCTATTAGCGCGCGGCTGCCAGGGATATTCACATCCAAATCAAGCAGCCCCCATCAGGGGTTGAGCTAGGGTTTATATAGGGAGTATACAGGACAGGGAGGGGGATGGATCTTTGAAGTCTGGCAAGAGGAAGAGGTTTTTTGGGGGGGGCTGGTCAAGGACACCCTTCTCCCTCTGTGTAGATATGATAATGCTCTGCAAACTTTCTCACAATGGAGGCTTCCAGAGATATGATCTGAGGGCTGTGGCCTGAGCAGCCAGATAAGGGTCTTGCTAAGGAATTTGGAGGTTTCCAGAGACATGATCTGAGGGCTGGAGCCTGAGCAGCCAGATAAGGGTCTTGCTAAGGAATTTGGAGTTTTCCATGGCCTAAAGGGTTCTACTACCCAAATGGTAAAATAATGTTCTGCATTACAATGATCATGGTGATAAACTCACTCAAACACTACCTACCCAATGCTATGCCATACTCTTGGTGTGTTTTTTTAATCTACTTTGCTTTTTTTCCCATTGTGGATCTCTTTCCTATTTCTATGACTTTCACTTAGAAAGCTTTGTGGTGCTGGGGTAGGCTAGGGTGTAGAATGTTATTAGTTCAATGTCATCCATAGGAATATTTCGAAAAGCTTAGCATCAAAAGGAAATCTCTCTCTTGTTTGGACTTCGCATAAAGAACGCTTTCATAACATTGACGAATACCTCAGCTGTTTACACTTCCATTGCTGATAATACTAAGCTTGAAAAACACATGAATGAATGAAGCAATGAATTCAAAAGCGTTTATAAAGCACTTACTACCTTTCCGTGCTAGGCACTGGACTACAAATGCAAAAAGCAAGAAAGTCCCTGCCCTCCAGAAGCCTATATTTTGATAGAAGATAACAGTGACTGGGTATGGATATTTGAAACTAGGGAGACACGGAGTTGTCACGTGAACTCAGAACAATTGATTGGCTTTTCCATTTTCATCTATCCTAAAGTCTGATATAATTATATTGCACACATAGGAGAAATCTTGTCTGAGAGGAGTCTTTAAAGCTATTTTATTTTGATAAAACAAATTTTAAAAAATCAATAAACAATAGATGCAGTAGGATCATATATTCTCTCCTTCTCTCCTTTAATATAGTTGTATGTTAGCAAAACATTGTCTTTTGTAAAAAATAATCTGCAAAAGCCTGCGCTTTCCATTCTCCTGTTTTCTTTCAGGATTCTTTGTGGTATAAATCATTCTGTGCATTTTAATGAGCGTTAAATCAACAAGAGAAACTTGAAAAAAAATCAATTTATTTTAAAACTATCAGATGTCCTCAGGTGGATTATCTTCTGACTTCTAAATCTGGCAAGATTTCTTGCACTGTATTTTCTTTAGCAAAGTCAACTGTAACTACTCAATAAATAATTATTGATTTAAATAGAGCTCCTTTTTTTTTTTAAAAACAAGAGCTTAACCTCTAAGCTTCTACTGTTCAAAATGGTTAAGTATTAGAAAAACAAATTGCTTCTGATAATTTTTTTGATATGCAATTCTTAGCAGCTAGTTCTCTGCAATCCTAAGAGATACATTATGTTGGCTGATTTTGTTCCTAAACTACCAAGAAAATTGTTGAATGAATCCTCTAATTAAGCAGTGTGTTACCTGGCTCTGAAGTCAAGATGTTGTTGTCGATCAGTTGTTTTAGTCACTTCTGGCCCTCTATGACCCCATTTGGGGTTGTCTTGGCAAAGATACTAGAGTGGTCTGCCACTTCCTTCTCCAGTAGATACATTTTGTCAGGCAATCAGACGTTAAGTGACTTGCCCAGAGTGGTGCAGCTAGGATGTGAGGCTGTATTTGAACTCAGACCTTCCTGATGCCAGGCCCAGTTCTCTGTCCTCTTGACTGCCAGCTGCCTCAGAAGTCAAGAGGAACTGTGTTCAAATCCAGTTTTTGATGCCTATTAATCTAGTGATCATAGGAAGCTACCCAATCTCCCTAAGCCTCAGTGAACTCATCTATAAAATAAGGGTGGCGAGACTAGACATCTCGGGTCTCTTCTAGTTTTCCTGTAATGCTCTGCTAATATTATGACCTATTTTTGTAGTACTATGCGGTAATTATATAAAGTAGAAATTACCTCCAGTGCTTGGCTGATCTTCTGGCTTTCCCTATCCTTCAGGGTAAAATGACTCTGTAGAAATAGGTAAAGGAGTACTGAACTAGGTGTCACAGGAACTGAGTTCAAATGTCGGCTCTGACACTCA